CCCCACTCGATCTCTCGTATCGGGTGGGGGAAACCCGTGACTAGGTCGTGTATATTGCTACCCATCGGGGTGTGCTGGCGACAGCATCTATCCCCAATGATCAGTCGTATGCGCGATCCAATCTGCCCTCCCATCGACCCGTTCGTGTCGAACGTAGAGGCCTACGATCGTTTTGTCCTACGGGATAGTGCGGCCGTACTCTCTGCATTCGAACCCCCACGAGCGGTGCTCCTTCGGAGGTCCACAGAAACCACCTTGGCTAGGATGAATGATAAGAGGCATCACCAATTTCATCCTATTAGCAATGATTTTAGCAATGATTTTGTATAGCACATTACAAAGAGCGATAGGTCTGTAATCTTTGACATTATTCACATGGGAGTGCTTAGGTACTAGTGCAATGGCAGTGGCTTTAACCTGATTTGGCATATAGCCCGTATTGAAGAAGGAAGTAACAGCTCTAAAGAGTTGAAGTTGAATAACACTCCAAGTAGATTTGTAAAAATCGAAAGTGTAGCCGTCAGGACCAGGAGCTGTGTTCGAGTTTCCAGCAAAAACAATATTTTTAACCTCTTCCAAAGTAACCGGGGCCAAGAGGGTAGAGGTAATGTGAGCCGGAATCAAATTCCCAGCAGGAATATCCCTATCCAACTGATTAGGAGTTGGGGAGTTGAAAAGAGTCTTAAAATGATTGATGAAGACTTTTGCAATGTCAGCTTGAGTGTAGTAGGTGCCTTGATCATTAGAGATTGCCTTGATCTTATTGTAATTTTTGGTAACATTGATTTTAGAGTAGAGAAACTTCAGATCATCTTCACCATGAGTAATCCATTTTACTTTGGCTCTTTGAGTAATCCAACTAGAAAGAGCTGCTTGGTTGTGTGCTAAATTGTTGTTGATTTAATGAAGTTTTCCATTAAGATAAGGATCCAGAGGATTGTGCTGAATTTGAGTGAGAACAGTATGTTGGAGTTCTTTGAGAGTATCAATGTCAGCTTGGATTTGATTAGATTTTTTCCACTTTTTGTGCTTCATAGAGTTCTTAAGTCTCTTAAGCTTGAAGATGAAAGAACTTAAGGGACTACTCTCATTGGGTTGGGAGAAGGCTTCCATAAGAGAACTCCAAAAATCTGGAAATTTGATACTGTAATTCTTGAAGAGGAAACAATGGCCATTATTATTTGCTTTCCAATTAACAAGAATGAGAGGATAGTGGTCAGAGCAATCAGGGTCTTCGACTTTATAGAAGGAGTTGGGAAAATTTTGAAGCCATAGATCATTAACTAGAACACGATCAAGCTTTATATGTATGGGATTTTGCGTTTGCTGATTGTGCCAAGTATAGAAGTGACCTACAGATGAAAGGTCATGGATCCCAACATTGAATATCATATTATTGAAGTCTCCCAGCTTATTGGCTGAAAGGGAAATGCCCCCTTCTTTTTCCCCCATCTCATGACAGCAATTGAAGTCACCCAAAATTGCCCATGGGATATTTATAGACACAGCTATATCTTGAATGTTTTTCCAGAGGACTTGTCTCTCAGCATGAGTATTACTAGCATACACAGCAGTAACAGCACAAACATCATTAGTATCTGTTGTAATAGTTCCATGGATAAGCTGATTAGTCATAAAAAGAGGAGCAAAGTTAATTGCATCCTTATTCCACTTTACCCAAATGCGGCCGGGATTAGAAAACAGAAAATTGTCACAGTTGCCTTCTCTAGGAAAGATTTGGTGTCTAGCAAGAAACCAATCATTTTGAAGGTTACTTTGGGTAATTTTAGCTTCGAGTATGAAGAGGAGTTCAAGATTGTGGGTTTGAGTAAGAAGTTTACAGCTTTTAACCTTGTCCGGGTTGTTAAACCCTCTAATGTTCGTGCGATGTTTGGGAGGGTCATTAGGATTTATTTTTAGGGGTAGAGGCCTTTTGTTTTGTTTGCCTCTAGTTTGCTTTTGGTTTTGGTTAGTAGTGGCTTGGGATTTAGGAGAGTGAGTGGTGGAGCTTGTTGAGTCATTGGAAGTTGTGGGTATATTTGGCTGATGCATACGGGGGGAGGTGTGGGCTAGGCTATTGTGATTAAGGATGAGGTTAAGATTGTCTGTGATAGTATGGTTAGTCTTTGTTGGAGAGTGAGGTTGATATAGGCTTTGGGTAGGTGCGTGTGTTTCATCATCCTTATCATTGTCAGAAAAGGACTGAAATTTGTTAGCTATTTTTATAATAGGGGGGTCTTGAGTTTTTGAGTGAATTTCGGTAGTGTCTTGGGGTTCTCCCGAGGGTGAGTTGAGATTTGGTATTATTGGGCCATCTGCTTGTTTGGAAGTTTGGAGTGAAGCTGGTTGGGGAATGTTGCTGTTGGTCTTGTTGGTAGGAGGGAATTTAGGAATGGTGAGTCTGGGTGGAGGAGACGGTCGTGGTTTACGGCTAGAACTTCTTCCCCTGTATGTGGACGTGGTAGTAGGAATTTGGATGGGGTCTTTGGGACAAAGAGATGGTGGATGCATGATAGAGCCGCATTGTGAACAATGGTCTGGTTTCCAATCATATTGCATGTGTAAGGGAGTACCCTTGCCATCCACGTTAAGAAATATTTCGTCTGGTAGAGTCGAGGAACTAGTGACTTGCACACATACACGCGCAAAAGTAAGACGAGTTTTTGCAGCCGTAAGGGCATCCACAGCAATAGGTATACCAATACAACTAGCAAGTTTAGATATACCTTCTGGAGTCCAGAGCGAGAGAGGGAGATTCAGGATTTTTACCCATAGAGGAATATAAGGGAATTCCTCACGCTTGGGTACGAAATCAGGAGTCCACTTTTTCAAAATGAATGGCTTTCCAAAGAAAAACCAGGGGCCTCTGGTCCATGCATGTTCATAGTCTTCAAGAGCAGAAAATTTAAGCAAAAAGAAGCCGTCATCCATAGTGAGGAGAGAAAGTTCTCCTTTTAGCTGCCAAGTCTTCTTGATCGTCGAAAGTAGGGCTTCGTAGAAAGGTCGTTTCCCGATGGAGTAACCAACCAGCGACAGGGACCATTCCGGCGCACCAGCTACAAATTGCTCTGTTGTAAAGTTGGCGGTGAAGTTTTGAGTTGGGACAAAGTCGAGCGAGTGAGAGAAATCAGTAGAAATCTGAGGAGTTGAAGTTAGGAGTTCTTCCATAGAGGCAAAATGGAAGGAAGAAGGGTTTTTGAAGTGGAAGTGGAAGTGAGCGGGGGAAAACCATCATCAGACATAGGGGAGAGGCCCCTAGCCGAAGGCGGCGGCTGAAAAAGAAGCAAACTAAAAAAACCCTAGCAGAGCAGTGAAAACTCCCTTTCTATCATTGGTTTCAGATATCCCATATATTTTTTTTCACTAAGATATTTAAATACTAATAAGTTTTGCAGTTGAAAAATATTCTAACAACAAATCCTCACCCAAAAAGGATAAGATCACTTGAAGTTAAAGGAGAAGTTCTGGTTGAGAAATTTTGTACTAAGACAACAATCCTAAAACCATAACCCTAATTTAGTTTCATGAAGAGTTATCGAAGAAAATGCTTCATCACATGCATCAATACTTAGAAGACCTTTCAATGATAGGTTTATCATGATATCTAAGGCTTCGTTTGGGATGACTTTTTTATTGTTTCTAAAAGCAGTCTTTTAGTAAAAAAAATTAAAATGTGAGTAATTAAAAGCTGCTTTAAAAAAAAGAAAAAAATCGTTCTAAACAAAG